AATTCACAAAGATGTGTTTGGACAAGAGATTTGTAATCTCTTAGTTTTGAATAGCTGCAGCGATAACGTTTGATACTTGTAATAAAATGGTATAGATATCTTTCTGTAAAATTTAAGCATAAAAGGAAAAACTCCTTGTAAAAAATTTTGATAAAAAATCACAACTAAGTTTCTTCTTAAGCCATCTCATGTTTGATTAGTACCTTGGCCTTTCTTTACATTGGTTACCATCACCATAGCAGCGTTAAAGTGAGCTTTGGATAAAATGGTCTTTCCTATGTTCAGTTACCGCCCTAATTTTCTGCCTTTTTCAGTGCCGCGGCTGTTTCTGTTTCTCCTCCTCTGTATTGTCATTATTGATTGGGAAATATTCCGAGAAATCAATGTCAGCTATATTAAAATTTACGCGTTTACGATCTGCTTACGCTGCTTCTAACAACAAATGAACTTCTATCCTTTTCAACTTAATTCTAGACTTCTTCTGAAAAAAAAAAAGTTGAGGTCAAGGTTACATGCTAGTTAACTCGCTCTCCTTGCCGGAACTTTCGCCATTTTCTGTAGCCATTAGCAACGGGGAGAAATGCTACTCCTTCTGAAAGAAGAACTTATTCATAATAGGCTGGAACTCATTTTCTACCTCCGAGTGGAGAAGGACACATGTTGCCTAAGAACACTACAAAACACGACCTAACCATCAGGTCATTGCGTTTTCCGAAAAAAACGAGAAACCATCCCCCTCCCCCTTCCGATACAGTATTTGATTGGGTCACATTGTCATCTGAACATTTTCATGTCAACAAGCCAGTGACAGAATATTTATATAAATAAGGAAAAGGATGAAGAAAGACTGATATCACAATAACTTTTAATTTTTTCTACTTTTATGGCAAAACTTGTTAAGATTTTCAATATTTTCATCGCTTTATCTCCTTTTTAACATTTTTTCAAGAGAAGCATATCAATAGGTCAGAAAACAGAAAATCTGTGAATGGCGACTTTTTCCGATATTTTTCTAAAAAAATACCAAAACAAAAATAATACGATAAAAACGAAAACATTTGAGCGTTCTTCAAATTGGTTTGACGCCTTCGAAAATTACTTTTATCGTTCATAACCAATATGACTTGATAACTACATTTCAATCATACCGATTTTTTTTCAGCTTTGAATCTTTACACTTTTTTTAACAAATCAAAAGAGAAGCAGCAAATAAAAACGTCAATTTAACTTTGACTTTCTGTACCTGTAAAGATTTGGCACAGGATATGAACTGATTTCGTTTTAAGTAGGTGGGTCGGTCGACTAAATTCCGGTAAAAAAATAAGATATTCTGCAGGAATCCTTCGTTCCTAAGTCTTGATCACCATTAATTATAAATCTTCCAACTTACCTTCTATCTTTTCTTATGAAATTATTCCCTTCGTGCAGCACCCCTTTCCGAAGCTAAATGTCCCTTTCGTAAGTATACAGTGATCTTTTTGACTCTCTTCGTCACTGCTAATATATTTATACGTGTTCAGCCGGAAAAGAGAGAATAGAATGCTCATTAAGTTTAACAAATCAGCGGATATCATTGACAGTCATTTCCACAACGATGAATTTATTTTGTTCCTAAGTGATAGTTTATTCTAGTTCTCTTATTATTGCGAAATAAAATGCTAAATACATTGACACAGTTAACAGGAGCTTTTAGTCTTCGTTAAGCTTCCCATTAAAACTCAATCAAAGCTTAGCACTCTCATTCAATCTCCATTTTAATCAAAGGCTTTTTACGCACACTGATCTTCTGAGAGCCAATTATCACCTAGATGAACAATGCTACTCTATCTATTTTCCATCTTACAACAGTAGTCATCGTAAACAAGATGAAACGATATAAAACCTTAACAAAAGCACTTGAATAAGTAGACATTTCTATTGTACTACAAGAGCTAAGAGATAGTCATCATAAACTAAATCAGAACTGCAAATATCCTACCCCGAGGTAGACTTCGTCGTAGACTTCCGCCAAGGTGGTCAACCATGCATGATTATTATCATTTTGAAGCATTTTCTGAACACTGTTTGCTTTTAGTTAAAATCGACTCTGACCAAATGCCCGAAATCAAACTGCTTAATCGAGCTCGTTAAGCACTTGTCAAACCTCACATCAATTCTTTCCAGCTGTGATGACTGTAGACTGTACACATTCCATAATTGCGAGTAAGAATCCATTTTAAGACGTTTGAAACATTTGAGATCAACTGTATCAAAATCGGAATGAGACTTAAAAGTGTTCAGTAATGTTTGTCGCATATATACATATATATATTATTAGACGTTTTGGTGTGTAGTATCTCTGAGTATTTTTACGAGTTGGGTCGTATTTTGTCGAGCCCTACAGGCTCGTCAAAATGCGGCACGTACGCAATTCAGATCACGAATACTTTGGAACTTGCGCGAAAAATTTACAAAATCCCTAAAGATATTTCAGTGTAGGGAAAATATTTTTTTAATCCAACGTCATTTTCATTATTAGACTTAAATCGAACTCAAAAACAAATCAGGTTGTTACTCACCATTCTTCACCTTTGAAAATTTTTCGCCGCCATATTACCTGTCGGAAAGAAAGAATTGAGAATATACTTACTAATACAAAGAATGACACGTCTCTCGTCCCACTCACCCTTAATCTGACGTATCTAGACATCAAAACTACTTTGTTTAATTGTTAAGTTGTGTTCTTGATAACATCCAGTCTGCGTCAAAGTATCCGCTCACGTTTTTGAGCAAAATGGTTCAGAATCCTGAATTCAAGAAACGCAAAAGATAATGAATATTTTAGATATAGGCAAGAATTAAATTTCCAATGAATCAAATGTTCCTCTATTGATCTTGCGCTCTAATACATCTTAAAATGATCGCTTGCTAAAAAAGTTTGGCGCAGTACGAAAATAAGACAATAAAGTAGAAATTTCATTGTTTCATTACCATTATGACAACTATCAAATCCTAAATATCTTTTTTAAATCTCTTCTTTAACGATATTTAGATTGGACACTTTCACAATTAACATGGTAAAACATCAATCTTGGTGCAGGCAATCATATTTCGCAGACATTTTTTACGCGCTAAATCGGAAATTCAAATTTATGGACTTGGCGGAAATTGCTAGGTGTAGCACCTAGATAAGAAATCCTACCCAAATATTTGATCAGTTTCCTTTGGCCACTATGGA